GGACAGGAGGAGCCCCCGCCACCAGTATCGGCAGCTCATCAACCGAGTGCAGCGTAAGCCCGGGGACAGGGAAGTTGAGCTGTGTTTGTGCAGTGACTGGTGCACCTAGGCGCTGGGGTAATACAAAGAGTATCCACAGCCGTAGCCTTGGGGTCTTCCTGCAGCAGCCAGAGATCCAGCCCTGCCAGAGGTGGAAGTATCTCTCATGCTTGCTGAAGGAGAGTGCCCCGCTCCCAGCCAGAGGCACATACAGATAAGTTGTGGTGTTTTAGATGCTGCTTGTAAGTATTAGAACTGGGAGCACTGGCTGTTGGGAATCTGGAAGCACAGGAAACAGGAAGGAGGGGGGAGGAGATGGGCCAGGGCTGAGTGAGAGCTACAGAGGGGAGCAGCAGCAGCTTTGTAAAGAGGTTTATTTGTTAAATAAACACCCGTTGAAGTTTGTTAGAACCTTGCTTGCATGATACAACATAAGTCTGAAGCTGCTGGGGAGCTTGGGATGATGGCGTCTCAACTACACAGCAGAAGTTTCCCTCTGCAGATCGAAAACCTTTTACACATCCTTTAAAGGATTGGGTCTCCTCCTGAACTGAAAGAGAGAATTGCTAGTTGGGCATTAGGGGGACAGGATTGAAAAAAAAAGTGGCATTAAATAAATGGCTTGACTTTCATAGATGCTGGATAGCCACTAGTCCGTTGAGGGTGTTGGACCAGTCTGATACTTAGACATCTAATTTAGGTACCTAAATCTTTATTTAATCATTTCACTTTAGGCTTTCACATCTGAAAATGTAACTTTAGATTTATTGCATCTTTATTCTGCCAAGACCCAAATGAGAGATGTAGTATAAATTTAACAGTTTAAGGCGATGTGCTGTTTAATGGGCTCTTGTCTTTGAATGATTTCTTTTTATTATTTTTAATGTTTAAAATATAGACTAGTTGGTCTATGAAATGAAACACATTTAGTAATCACTATGAATGGTCACTGTAATTCCATATACAATTGTGTTAAGGCAATGTCAAAGATTGTGATTTATGGTGGCTGGGATGAGATATGAAAACTGGTTAGCAGAGTACAGGAGCATAGCGCACAGCTGTAGATACTGTATTTTTACCTGAAATTACAGAAGACTCATAGCCAGAATACACCTATATTTGAACATTATCCTACAACTTGCAAAAGAAGTCCAGGGGGTTTTCAGTGAACACCAGGGGTTTTACATCTCTCCCACGTGTACAGTCAGCAGTGCTGTCCCATTGTTGCTATTCTTCTGAGTGCAAGAATGCTCACTTTTCAAGGCATCAATAACAATTCAAGCAGCAACTTGAGTTTGTATATTTTTGTTTCTGCCTCCAGAAATCTTTTATCTTAGTCTAGTTCTTGGTTAATTTGCATGATTTTTGAAGATACTATTACAACACAGTTTTAGAATAACTTAACCTGTGTGTGTGTGTGTGTAATAAAACACTATTAAAGAAAAGTGTATCAAGAGGTAGATGCTTCTGCTCAAACCATTTGAACACTATGATGTAGTGAGCAGTCATATGGAATTAAGCTGTCAGATACTCCCATTGTCACTGTTTATTCACCTAAGTAACTGTAAATGTTTGTTTTTAACCTAGTGATGGCCAGTAATGAAACTACCATTATTATTATTTATTATTTGTATTACCATATAGTGTTTAGGAGCCTTAGTCATAGAGCCATAGCCATTGTGTAATACAGCCTTGCATGTTTTTGTAGAGAACCTTAATTTGTGATGTTTAAATGGGTAAGACAAATAACTCTCATGAGCTCTTGTAACTATTTTGATATAAAACAGGACATTGGAATTATTAGCAAAATGTATAGAAGATATACTACTTAACTTTAGAGCTTTTTAAAATGTCCACTCTCAGAAATATTCTGTAGTTGGTTTGTAATCACTTTAGAGCTTGCAGGGGAATCCTAGCCTTTGCATTTCTCTAAAACTCATTCTATGAACAGGAACTCTTCTTTGAAACATTCATTGTACAGGCAGTCCCCAAGTTACGCGGATCCGACTTATGTCGGATCCACAGTTACGAAGGGGGCTTTTCTCGCCCCGGAGGACAGGAGCGGCGGGACGCCCAGATGCGCTGTGGTCCACCGCCCCCGTCCTCCGCGGCGAGAAAAGCTGCTCCCCATCTCCCTGGTCTGCAGGGAGGCGGGGGGGGGGAGGCACG